AGGAACGTGCACCCCCAGGAAGGGGGCGAGCCCTGGCCCTGCGGGGGCAGAGCGCCCGCCCGGCGCTGGCAGCCACTGATGTAATTTAAACACCTGAAAATTAGACCGTAGGTGATCGCCTGGGGCAGTCTGGGCGTCCAGCCGTTACCCACGTGATCTCAGGTGAGCTGCACTTCCTCCGTGCCCGCCAGTAACTGAAGTACAGATAACTTTCCTTCTCACGTAGAAAACAAAAGCCAGTTTATATCTGCAGTTTTTCACCCATAGGTTTGGTTTTGTTTTTTTGGGGGGTTGGTGTTTTGTTTTTTTCCCCTATTACTTCTGTACAGAATGCTTTTGTGGCGATTGACTCACATTTGATCTTTACAATCACGGAATCGCAAAGGGAGAGATGGGCTACAGGCCTCCCTGTCCTCATTATGAAGGTTCAGGGCACACCCCTTTGCCACCGGGAACAATTTGCTCATAGCTGCGTGGCTGGAGAAAAAACATACTGGGCATGGTTAGTGTCAAGGAAGTGTAGGTCAAAAGTTCGGTATGTGTCCGCCTCTGCACCCACTTGGAGCAGGCGTCAGGGGCCTGGGCACCTCTGGTGCATGGAACTGCTTTGCTTTGTGGTGGGAAAGCAACAGCTTTTGTGCTTAAATCCCCTGCCAAGAGTGGGGCTACCCAGACTGGGCCCCGCTGTGATGGCTGGACCCAGATGCTGTGTCATCACCTAAATGGTCAAGCCATGTGAGTGGCACCTTCAAGCATAAGATGGTACAAACTACTGAAACGTGTCCTGAGCAGCTGGGATTTCAGTGGAGCTGCACTCCTCTGGGCGCATGCCTGCCTTTTGTGGGGGTATTTCCCTGGTTTCTGTGTGCTACCAGAACCCTGGTATGTTTTGTAGAATCACAGAATGGTTTGGGTCCCCTGCAATGAGCAGGGACATCTTCAACTAGATCAGGTTGCTCAGAGCCCCATCCAGCCTGAACATGAATGTTTACAGGGATGGGATATCTACCGCCTCTCTGGGCAACATGTTCCAGTGTTTCACTACCCTCATCATAATTTTTTTTTTCTTTATATCTAGTCTGAATCTACCCTCTTTTAGTTTAAAACGACTGGATTTTAATAACCTTGGGTTATTGCCCAAGGGACCATGAAAGACATGGTCCAATCTTCTGAACATATTGCAGGACACTGTATGCTCATCTTTGAGTGTTATGAGCATGAAGCGATTTTGTCTTTGCGCTGAACGCAAAGAAGTCTCCAGTCATGCTGAAAATATTGGCCACATTTTAGCTTGCCACCCCGGACAAGCACAACAGTGAGAGAGAGATTCTCACTGTGACAGGAAAGCATTAAGAGCAACCCTAGGGTAAGACTTTGGGCTAGCTCTTCAGTGAAGATCTGCTTAGAAAAACACAGAGCAGAAATATTCTCTTGCCAACACGGTTCTATCACTGTTTCCCCCCTTAATTTTACATCCTCTTTCTTCCTGGACATGTAGATCTGAACTCCAAGGCCCCTTAACACATACCTCTGCATGTTCACAGCAAGGATCCCAGACGGGATGCTTGCCTGAATCAGGACTGAAACTTGAGACATACTTTGAGATCTCTTAGAGTGAAATTCTTGTGGATATGTAGAATGGGCATATTTTTTGAGAAAGAACTTTTTTTCTTCTACAGATATACAAGTGGAGCTTGTTCACGTAACATCTTTCCTAAAAATTAATGTCCTCAGAAAATGATAGTAATAAAAGTATAAGGACAGTTAATTACCAGGGACTCCTCCCTGTTAAAGCAGATCGTACACAGATGTGTAAGAGTGTAGTTTAAATATGTAATATGATTACATATTTAAATGTTTCATGGAAGGCTGGGCTTATAGAGAAGGCTAATTTCTTCTGATAATGAATCTTAGCAGTAAGCTAATAAATGTGATGAATGTAGTAATGAGATTAAGGTTTCATTCCTATCCCCATATTAACAAATTTATCTTAATTTTTTCCTTCAACTTTTTCCTTGGAGTTCTATGACACTGTATAATGTAACAACATATAGTCACATCCCTCCATGGTTTTTAATTTGTGTTTGTTTCAATTTCTTGTACCTTGTATCTTTGAGCTTTAAGAATTTACAAAAAAATCTCATGTGTAATTTGTTTGCATTCATTTGAAATAAGGAGAAGAATGACTATACCTGAGTATCAGTAAGAGTGGTCTTATTAAGCAACTCCATAGTGCAAAAGCCACTAGCAAGAGCAGATACTATATAGTTTTGTCACTGGGCAATAGCTTTCTTTTTAGAGTTGATGTACAAAACCAATTGAAAAATACTGATTGCTTTGGATGGAAAAAAAAAAGGTTTTTAAACATAAAAAAAAAAAAAAAGAAGAGACATTTTCCTTTCACTTAAAATTTCCTGGGTTTTGAAGGCACGCCTGAGAGACAAACCTGGACACTTTTGATGGAACATTTTTCATTTTCAACCAATTTCCTCCCTCTCTTACTGACAAAGGAAAATGTGAGTTTTGATTTTCCACAAAGTGCATGTCATAAGAAATTTCTCGTGAAAAATTACAACAGCTCTTTTCAGCTGACTTTCTCGATATGTGAGATACTTATCCTGTGAATCCTGGGTGATGACTACAATATTTAAAGTGGGAGTCTTCCCAGGGCCAGAAAACATTGTCAGCAACAAAATTTTTCAACTTTGTCTCCCCTTTGATAAGGTACGTTAATATAGCAGCTGCATGGTTATGCAATATTTTAAGTATGTTTAGGTCACCTATTGAAGAACTTAAATACATTTAAAATTAAAATATGTTTATGTTATTTGAAATATTATATGATATTTATATATCCTGGAATTAGCTCTTATATTTATGGATACAGTCTTACAATGTTCAAAGAAGAGAGAGCCATTTTATTTCTTCTTTTTGGAAAGCAGAGTGAAATATAGTGTCTTAGAAGAGCCCCAAGCAAACCAGCTTTGCCCCTGGCCCAGCACAGGCTTGCACACAATAAAATGGAAATAAAAGTGGGCACGGCAGCCCCCATCCTTAGCCTGTTAGCTGGCATCAGTCTCCTTCTGGCATTGATGCCTTAGGCAGAGGTAAGAGAAGCAAATCCTGCCCACTCTAAGCCTTAGCTGACACGATGAGTTTTCCCACGGAAGAGGAGTTTTACAGAACACCTGAGTCAGCTAGCATTTAAATTTATCACGAAATACAAAGCAATTGAATTTTATCTGGGGTAAGACAAATCACTTCTTACTCTGTTTGTATTAATTAATAAGGGATGTTTCTGGGGCACATTTTCTTGCTGCTGGAGACTGGAAAGCTAGTAAATGAGAGCTGCTGCAACGTGACTGCAGGTGAAAGGTATAATGTGTGCAAAGCTTAGGTCATTGCTGTCTACTGCTCCCACCCCATTCCCAGTGTCAGTGACACTCCTTTGATTTATAGTGATCAAAGGGCAAAAATTAAGCAGTGGCAGTGGGAGGTAAAAAACAAGGAGAAGAAAGAAGAAGGGAGAGCTCAAGCCCTAACAGAAATGGGATGTTCCCATTTTGGACCCCCCCCCACAGCTGTGTCCAGGACTGAGGTCTCTTCCCCAGGGCAGCTCCGGGCTGGACTCAGGTGTTGTCTGAAAAGCAGGAGCAGCCCGAATCAAGGGGTGGTTTGCTCCCACTGTAACATACTTAGTGGTGCCACTGGGTGTCCTGTTCGGGCAATGTAAAGCAGCCACAAAGTGGAAATGAACAGTTTCAAACCAGCTGTCTCCAGTGGGAAAATTTCAGGCCTTTCGACATGAAAGCAGTGAAGGTCATGATTCAGCCTCAGATTCATACAACAGAAGATATATGCGTGCTTGTACATCTTCAGGCAGAATTTTTAGACTCAGGACTTTGAGCACTGTACAGCAAACATTTTGGTAGAGGCAGACCTGCATCAATTCTGTGTCCTCTTTTAGCCTCTTCGACTACTGCCAGATTGCTTATCAATTCCTTTCCCACCCCTGTAATTTTGGGTTGTTTGCTTCATTAAACAACTCAGCATCTTAGTCAGAAAACATCTTCCTCCTAAAATCAATCCAGCTTGTTCACAGTTGTCATTAGTGGCCTTTTTTTTTTTTTTTTTGAATTATTTTGGAAACCCCACGTGTACCACTTTCCAGCTTGAAGAAACATCGTGGATCTCAGCAGGACTGTGTAATTTACATTGCAGTGATTCGTGTCAACATATGGGGAACCTTATTAGAACAAAGAGCAGAAGAAAAGTGATGGCACAACACAAGGAGAGCAAGAGATGAAAGGGAGGACAAATGCAACATGCATTACTCCAGGCAGTGCCAGTGGGGTAGGTGCTAGCCGTGGCATGCTCCCTTCCCCTCTTATGCAGTACATCTGAGGCTCGACTACATCCTTTTTTTCATACACCTCTGACATGTCTAACACACGTGAAAGCAAAAAAATCCAACCCAAGTTTGGTACTTAACATATTTAAATGTGTGTTAAATTGTTGAGACTGAGTATTTTGATTTAAAATGAATTATCTATTTAACATGTTGTCTAGGGATCTAGATCATTAAGAATCTATAAAAGGATGGGGAAAAGCCAGAGTTTTCACAATAAAATACAGCTACAACACAGCAGATGAAATAAATGAGTTAACTTCCAGAACAACTCTGCTTGATCCAGAAAGGGATCCTTTGAATTTTACATGGAAATCCTTTATGAATGAATGTATTTTACATGTTTTAAAATAACTTTGCACTCAGTAAAAGATTCTTCCTATTGCTTCTGTCACATGTAAGTTGCATAAATGTTCCCACAGTCTTCCTCTGTAACCACAGGCATAGCTTGCAGTTGTAAAACTGCATCTCTTAGTGGTTGCAAAGCCCTTTACAAAACCAACCAAGCTCATCACAGTCACTT